GAAAATGGCACTTTACCTAACCAAGAAAATGAAATTGAAAAATATTTATAAGGTGTTGAAAAAAATAAGTATCTGAAATTCCACATTTAGCAACATTCTCAGATGGAGGAAATAAAAAAATGTTTTCTACAAACCAACTTTGAAAAATTTCTAAATAAGGAAAATAATAGAAGATGGAGTCTGTAAATATCAGCAATGAAAGAAGCGATCTTAAACATCTGGTTAAATAGTAAATTCTATTTTTCCATTTATTTCCTAATATGTATGCTTGGCAATTGAAAGCAAAACAATAATATTGCTTTATATATAACTATATAACTATAACTTTATATATGGGTAATATATAATTATGTATGTATATATATGTAAATATATGTATTTGACAATTACAATCTGAAGGAGTAAGAAGAAAGAATAATAGGACTTATGTTGTGATAATTTGTTTACATTCTATTTAATTTATTTAAATTAGATATTTAAGTAAGATATTAATTTTAGGTAGACTGTGAGGAGTTAACTATGTGTTTTGTAATCTCTAGAATACCATTAATAAAATCTTCTCCAAGTGGATATAATCAAAAACACAAGGATAATTTAATACCAATATTTTTAAAATAACCTGAAATAAGGTAGGAAAAGGAAAGCAAAATGAAAAAAGAAGAGGGCACAAGAATACAAATAGTAAAACAGTGAATTAAACCCAAACATATCAGTAAATGCATTATATATAAATTATGTAAATAACTTAAACATACCATTTAAGATGAAGATTTTCAGAATGGACTAAAAACATATAAACCAAAATTACCAACTATACATTGTCTATAAGAAATTCATTTCAAACATAGGCAGATTAAAAGTTAAAATCGAGACAATGACATGTAGCTATATTAATATCACATCAAGTATTGGGACACACGGTTGGCTCAGTCAGATGCATACTATAGATGGGTGACCCTTGGTGAGTCTGTAAGTGAGTTTAGTTGTGCATAGGTGAGCATTTAGAATAAGAAACATGCCTTATGCTTGTTTAAAAATGTAAGTTTAGTTTTTCTTTTAATTTTCTACATGGGCCCAGCTTATTTCCTTCCAGACTTTCTCATGTTCTTATTTTCTAACAACTTGACCATTTTAATCTATTTTTCTCTCTGACGATGATACATAGAACTTAACAAATTGCTCTAATTAAATTATAATGAAATGAGAGAACTGCACATGACTACAGCTTCTTTGTGCCACTGTCATGTCTGCTATTTTAACATCTTTATCTCTTATTTGAGAAATAACTTGACACCCTCCATGAACATTAAATCAAATCATTTCCTGCGATATTTTTTGTGGCAAATTGGTAAATACTCCATATTAATAATTACTGATTTTCTTTTCCAGAAAAGAAGGAAAGAAAGGCTATTCATTCTATGTTTGTTTGTTTATTTTTAATCATCTTTTTTCTATAGTATATAGGCTGGTTATTGGAAGAAAGGCTCACCCAGCCCAGCCATAATCATTTCACACGTGTTTCTCCTCATCTCTGATTAGTACTTCTGTCTCTTTTCCTCTAATGTGTGAAATTAGGTCTCCTTACTTTGACATGGCTTGTTAAAAGGGAGATAAATGCCATGTCCACGTGGGTTCACATGGTATGATGAGATCTAAGTATCCCATGAAACAATCATTCGTAGGGGCTGGCACCGTGGGTCAAATCAGGCACAAAGGTGTGGGGAAAATGCACTGTGATAACCTGAAGTAAAATGATTTTTTAAAAAACTGTGTTAATTGCTTGATTTTATAAGTCACTAAGGGTTAGACTAAGTCAGGGACTAGACTACATCAAAATTCAATTTTATACAGCACATTTAATGAAAAATAAAGGTCACCGTGTAAAAGCGCCTGGAGCATACCATGGTTTTAAAACTGGCTGATTCTGAGAAGCTGATGCTTAAAATACGTAAGCTTCAATTATAAATTAGTTTTTAAAATAACCAATTATGCTAAGTATTTAATTTAAAAAAATGTATACTTTTCAATTTCAAAGTGGATAGTAGGGCAAAGGATTAGATTAAATGTTTTTTCTAAGGATCATGCATTTTTCTTTTGTATAAAACGTTACTTTCACCCCCTGGAAATTAGTGATTTTAGCACATTGGAAAAAAGAGCATATTCAAGTGTTTTTTGAGCATCCTCTACTATATCTTTAAAATATAAAGTGGGGTACCTGGCTGGCTCAGTCAGTGGTGCATATGATTCTTGATCTTGGAGGTTGTGAGTTCGAGCCTCACATTAGGCATAGAGATTACTTAGAAAATTATTAAAGTATAAACTAAGTTTTCATTTTTATTGAAAATACATTTCTGCACATTGATTTTGATTCAGGAAAGTGCTAAAAATAATATTTTGATAAGTTTTGCTGTGTCTGTGGAATATCTGTACGTGTTGGGAAGGGCGATGTGTCCATTGAAATCTACATGGGCGAAAGGTAAAAATTTTTTTCATAATAAGGACAATTATGTAGGAGTCTTGGGGCCTTGTATGTTATGATTATAATTTCTAAGAAAAAAGAAACAAGGTAAAACTCAATATTATATGAAGCACAGTATGTTATTTAAAAATATGTGAATTATGATTATATTACAGCACCTCATAGATACTATGATGTCCTAAAATGGCATGAGGTAACAGAGCAGTCAATTTTCAGGTGAATATCTTCACTCAGCAAAGTATAATAAACTCGTGAAGACAGGAATTTTATTTTTTTTCTCTTTCATTCATTGCTATAAAATAATGTCTGTAACAGTAGCTCACATACCAAAAGCATCAATAAATATTTTTTCAGAAATAATTATTTCTGTACATCTTTTTCCCCTTAATTTACTTTCCCTCAATTTACTTGTTTTATTTCTCTTTATAGTACATTGCTTATACCTCTGGCCTGTATTTCGAGTATAACTGACAATGATACATTTCACTTTAGGTAACATAAACGCTCACAATAATGCCAAACAGATTTTATTTCTCTCTCTTATTATGGAAACATGTAAACTCATTTATCTTTCATAGGAATGAAAACTATTTTCTTAGTATCCTTTTTCCCATTGACTGTGCTTTTAAATCTGTTTTAATTTTTAGTAGTCTATTCTTTTTCTATATAGTTGCTATTTCCTGCTTGGGAAAAGTATTTCACCAGATCTAAGCAGATAAGAAGATTAAAATTTAATAAAATCAAAACTTGAAATTCACTGAAATTTTATATTTTTATGGTTTGTGATGGGCTATAAGTGTCAAATTCTATTTTCATTTGGCTTGTGAAATAACAATTTATTCATCTCTTCAAATGTCATAAATAACTATGACAAATTTGTGGAGTTTTTATGTTATTCCACTCAAATATCTCTCTCTCCTTTTGCCAATAGCTTACTCCTATGATAAATGCTGACTTTATAAGTGAACTATGAAAATTTCAAACCTATTATTGCTGTTACTATTACTATTATCACCATTTCAAGGCAAGGAATTCTTTACATACAATTAAATTACTTATTTTTTTTATTTTTTATTATTATTTTTGAATGTTTATGTTTGAGAGAGAGACAGAGAGAGAGAGAAAGAAAGAGAGAGCGCGTATGAGTAGGGGAGGCGCCAAAAGAGACGGGAGACGCAGAACATAGCAGGCTCCAGCCCTCTGAGCTGTCAGCACAGAACCCAATGCTGCGCTCAGGACAGCTCAAAGCCCAATGAAGGGGGATTTGAGCCAAAGTCTGAGCTTAACCGACTGAGTCACCCAGGCACCCTGAATTACTTGTTCTTTAAAGGTTAAATGGGGAGAGCCTGGGTGGCTCAGTCGGTTAAACGACCGACTTCGGCTCAGGTAGTGATCTCACGATTCGTGGGCCCCAGCCCCACGTCGGACTCTGTGCTGACAGCTCAGAGCCTGGAGCCTGTTTCGGATTCTGTGTCTCCCTCTCTCTTTGACCCTCCCCTGCTCATGCTGTCTCTCTCTCTCTCAGAAATAAATAAAACATTTAAAAAAAAAGTTTAATGGAAATTACCTATGAAAATACTTGAACCTGTGTCTCACTTTAAAATCTGGACAATTTTCATAATTTTATACATTGGGATTAATCATCACTTTATATATCAATAACATTTCAATCAGTAATCTCAGTTGATCACTTCAATCTTTTTTACATCTATCGTTATTTCTCTTCTCTCATTGTCAAAGACGTATGCTTTATTCTATTTTGGTTTAATCAAGAACATCAAACCATCACGCTGTGTACTTTAAGTTAACTAATTAATTAATTAATTAATCTATTTATTTATTTACTTATTTTGAGAGAGACAAGAAAGCATGAGTAGGGGAAGAGCTGAGAGAGAGGGAGTGAGCAAATCCCAAGGAGGCTCTGCACTGTCAGCCCAGAGCCTGACTCCGGGCTCGATTTGTGAAATCATGACCTGAGCCAAAGTCAAGAGTTAGGCAGTTAACTGACTGAGCCATCCAGGCATCCCTGTATGCCTTAAATTTACATATTGACATATGTAAACCATTTATCAATTAAATTGGGGGAAAATTAAGGCAAAACACCAGTGGAAAATAAAAGTAAAAAACACAAGGTGTTGGCTGACCTTTTAAAGTAAAAAACAAACTTCTTTATTATATTATTTTTGTTTTCTAGTACCCTTATTTTTATTCATTGCATTTTACTAGTACTTCTCATATAATTTTACTAATATATTTAAAAACAGTACTTTGTTATATTTTTGTTGCTTATTATTTCTCTTTAAGTTTGGAGGATTTAATTAAAAGTTACAGGTCTTCAATTTGTCTGTTGGATTTGTATTTTAAAAATAATTTTCACATTTCTCAAAGGTCATTTTCTGTTTAATACTGAAATTTAGGTAATAGTTTAATTGTCTGTTTGATTTTAGATTATCCATCTCCTCCATCATTTATTTTTCAATTGGAAATCACCATTCTGCTTATTCTTCTTTTTGGTTCCCAGATTCCATAAGTGAACAAAAACTTTCTACTGCTTCCTCATGACTAGTTCCCCTTGTAACCAGGAAACTGAAGAGTGTAAGTACCAACAGTCCCAGTAACGGTATTTGAAGCAGTGATTTCCTAGGTGGTGGTCTGTGGTGGTACTGGCAAGAATCTCTCTTACTATCCTATATCCTAGCCTTTAGTCAAACACAGCACTCTCCAGGCAATGAAATACCAGCAGTTCCTTTCAGAAGTGTTCATTTAAGCCAGAAATGCCTTTTCTTTCAAGACCTCCTGTGGGGACCAAACTCTCCCACCTAGGATTTTTGATGTTCAGAAGATAATTTTTGATAGTATTAAGAACACCAGGTCTCTTGATAATTTTTGTACTTTTCTGTTCAGTTGATAAATTCTTTTCTTTATAGCCAGTTTATCTGTGGGCACTTCACCAATGGGCCCTGTGCATTGCCCCTGATGTTTAAATGGCAGACAGATTCAAAAAAACCTACAGATAGTCTTGGTAGTTATAAACAGTACAAACAAATAAATATACCACCAAAAAAGAACTTCAGAATTAATGATAAAAAAATATACACTTATTGGTTTTAAAATTGAACTGAAAGAAAAAGAATCATATTCCTATATAGAATTCCTGGGTAAAGAAAAAAACAGACATATTTTTAAAGTATCCAAGAATAAGAAAAGAAAAATTGCATTTCCTAAAGTTTATATATACTTCATAAAATTTTTCTGAAGCATCATAATACTAACAGGGCTCCATTTGATATAGTAAAAATTAAACCTAAAACCTAAATGTAACATTTTTTTCAATATTACTTCCATTTAAATTCTTGAACTTTTACCAAAAAGACTATTTTTCCCTATTGATGATTGTTTATGCGAACCAATATATTATTTTACTTAAGCAAAAACAATATTTTTCCTAAATAAAATCAGAAATTTTATACCATTTGCTACATACATAGTGTCTCCATAAGTGCAATGATTTTGTACATTATTGAATTTCAAACACCTGGCATAATGTCCATCATAGAATGAGCTTTTTTTTTTTTAATGTTTTATTTATTTCTAGGAGAGAGAGAGAGACAACATGAGCAGGAGAGGGTCAGAGAGAAAGGGAGTCACAGACTGAAATAGGCTCTAGCAGTCAGCACGGAGCCCGACGCGGGGCTCGAACCCACGAACCGCGAGATCATGACCTAAGCGAAAGTCGGAAGCTTAACCGACTAAGCCACCCAGGCGCCCCCATATATCTAATTTTTTAAAAGTCCTCAAAACAGGAACTAGTGGAACACACTTTAGACCATACCTAGAAATAAAATATACTCTGAGGATTTGTTGCCTATAAAACCTAACAGATTGCAAAATCAATTTCTACTACAAAGAAAAGTAAAACAACTACCTGTTAAGAACAAAACAAGCAAAGAAAAAAAAAAGAAAGACAAACCAAAAAATGGACTCTTAACTATAGAGAACTATAAAGAACCAACTGATGATTACAAAGGGGAAATGGGTGCAGGGATGGGTCTAGTAGGTGATGGGGAGTAAGAGTACACATAAAAATAAAAGAGTACACATATCATGATTAACACTCAGTAATGTATAGAATTATTGAATCACAAAATTGTGCACCTAAAACAAATGTCACACTGTATGTTAACTATATTGGAATTATAATTTTAAAAATAACTACATTTTAATCACATAAAATAAGAATCTCCTATGAAGATAAAATAATAGTAAAAGTTGTCATTATTATGGCTACAAATTTTGAGCCCATATTATGTACCAGATGTGTGCTAGAAACTTCATGGGAATTACACTTAAAATTATGTGCAGCTAAACACTAATTGCAAGAAGAAGGTGGGGACAGATTACAGTATAAGAAAAGTGGAGAAAGTGATATTTTAAATTTGGCAGCTGATTAACTGTATTAAGCTGAAAGAAAAAATAAAACCTCAACAGCTGGCAGACTTGATGACATTTTTCATCTTCGGCCAAGTGTGTGTTGCTCCAGGAGAGAATACAGAGTGGGAAGAGCCTTAGGAGAGCTATTGCCACATCTAAATGTGCTTGGAAGGGCATCAAGTGTAGATTATTTATCAGATTTTAGCTTAAAATTAAATTGGTTTTGCATTGGATTCTGTGTAATATAAATATGTATATACTAAACATTTATATGTTACAAATATGATAATATAAAAAGCCAGCTATCTGGTTTATATCTTAAGTTTCTTAAAAGGATACGAGCAATCCTTAAACAATGAATTATAAGAGAGCATGTTTGAGTCATCGTCTGAAAATCTGGGAAAAAATGACCACATATTTAATTGTGTTTGGATATGACATAATGTTTTAAGGTGAATAGATTTTAAGAAAATTAGAATGGAGAAATATATCTCAAGTACAATAAAATTTAAGTTTAATTGAAACTGAAATTACAACAAGTTTGACAAATGTATGCATTTATATAACAACCACCTCATCATCACAAATGTTCCCTTGAGCCGTTTTACCCAATCCTTCCCTCTGAACCAAAGCCTGTGAGCCACTGATCCAGAGTCTTTCCTGATAGTTTTGTCGTTTCCAAAATGATGTTTTCCAGAATGACACATGAATGGAATCTAAAATACCCTTTTATGCTGAATTATTTTACTATTTTTGAGACCCGTCCATGTCTGCATATTATTACTAATTTAGTGTCTGCTACTGTCAAGTAAATCCTACTGTATGGATACATAAAATTTTGTTTATGCATTAGTCAGTTGAGGAACATTTAACTTTTTGCAGATAATGGTGATTATGAAAACAGCTATTATACATATATAGGTTTTTTTGTGGATACAAATTTTCAGGTGTCTTGGGTAAAAAATTAGATATAAGATTAGGGGGTAATAGGGTAAATATATGTTTATTTTATAAGAAACTGACAAATAATTTTTCAAAGTAGATATTCTATTTCAAACTCCCATAGGAGTATCAATTAGACATACGAGTATCAATTAGAACACACTTTGATCAACATTTGATATTTTATTTTGTTGATTTTAGCTATTCTGATAGTGTTTAGAGATATGACATTGGAGTCTTAATTGAAATTTGCATAGTAACTAATGATGTTGACCACCTCTTCATGAATATTTGCAATCAGTATATCTCCTTTAGTAAAATGTTCAAATTTTGTGACCAATTATTACTGTTTTATTCATATATTGAAAATATATATGTTATATGTATACAAATTGTATATATTATATGTTATATTAAATATAATGTGGTGGTTTGATTTCATATATGATTTTACATATATTGAATATATAAATAAGTTTATATATTTTGAATATGTGTATATATTATATATATAGCAGCTTGATTTTTCACTTATTTAACAGGTCTTTTGAGGTTAAAGTTTTCAATTTTTTTACTTAACATTTTTTTAAGTTTATTTATTTATTTTGAGAGGGACAGAGGCAGGCTGAGCAGGGGAGTGGGAGAGAGAGAGGGACTGTTAGTGCAGAGCCTGACGTGGAGCTGACCTTACAAAACCATGAGATCATGACCTGAGCCAAAACTGAGAGTTAGAAGCTTAAAGGACAGAGCCACCCAGGTGCCCCAAAAGTTTCTAATTTTAATGAAGTATAATTTATCAGTATTTTTTGTCAAGATATCTCAAATGTATGAAAAACTTCCCCTCTGAAATGAAGATACATAACTTGGAATTATCTCAGTGGGAAAACAGAAGACCAAAAAGTGAAATTTGCTGGAAGTGTCATCTTGTCACCAGGTATGACTTCTAACCAATATATACAAAGATGTTACTGTCTTTTACGTTGCCACAGTTATAGAATGTTTGCAGACCATGAATTTATAAATAGATCCATAGTATTAAACTTTAATTATTATTATTTTTCAGGATATACTAGAGTCTCCAATTATAAATTCATAAGATTTTGTGTGTATAATTTACATATTTATACTGTTTTACATATTTTACAGTATGATAACCAAGGCTCAGGAGTGAAAATGCTTGAGTCTCAACCTTCAATCAGTCTTTTTCAAGATGTGCAGAGTTAGAAACTTTACTTAACTTTAGGTATCTTTTTTGACTCGTCAGCTAAATCAGAATTTCACAGTTCAGAATGCCCTTAGTGACCATTCTTTTGTTTCAGCACACGTATATCAAAGGAATACCTAACAGCTCCGTTTATTAAGTAGTGTGTTATATCAAAGTATTTATGTCTTGACAACTTACTGGTAATTTGAAAAAAGTGACCTCCTCAAATTAAAAGAGAAATATGATTATTTAATTCTTAAATAGGTTTGTTATTACCCAGAATCAGTAACGGTAGCCAGTATTTTCTTTTATTCAGCATATTGGCTATTGCATCATTAAATACTATTCACCTTCCAAAATACTAGATGGTAATTTGACAGCACCAGTCTCATTTCCTGTTCTAAATTGATTTTTGTACTTTTCCTGACTTTTACATAAAGACCTCTAAAAACCGAGCTTCCAAACAGATGTCACTGAAAGAAGTATAGTGCAATCTAAATTTTAAAAAAAAAGTATTTTAATGTTTATTTAGTTTTGAGAGAGAGACAAAGACAGAGCGTGAGTGGGGGAGGGGCAGAAAGGGAGAGAGAGACACAGAATCTGAAGCAGGCTACCGGCTCCAAGCTCTGTGCTCCTGCTGTCAGCACAGAATCAGACATGAGGCTGAACGCACATGTCATCATGACCTGAGCCAAGTCGGACGCTTAACCGACTGAGCCACCCAGGCGCCCCAAAAGAAGTATAGTGCAATCTAATTTTAAAACAGTGGACTTCTATCTAGCTGATAATTCCCATGGTGTCTGGCAAATCTCAAGTATTGCAGTGTCTCCCCTTAAATTAAAAAAACCCCTGTTTGTTTCTGGGTGCCTTGGGACAACTTTATGCTATATTTGGAAACCATGGTGTTAAATAGAGGTAGGAAATGTCCATATCAAAAATTAAGAGACTGAGAACATTCTCTCTCTTCCCTTCACACACCATTCCATTTTTAAGTTCTAATAG